CATCCATCCATCCATCCATCCATCCATCCATCCATCCATCCATCCATGCAAAAAGGGCCTCACATCAGTAAACAAAAAAGGAAGGCTGAAGCCCGCACTGCCAGTGCAATACTGAACCACAGAGATGTCAAACAGGCCTCCAGCGGCATTGAGGCAAAAAGCTGCATGTCCGTGTATGAAAAATATTAAGCAAGTAAAGCAGGCAAGTGAATGTTCTCTTTCAAGATTCGTAGTCTTTTGCTTCGCGTGGAAACAAAGGTCGCATTCGTCTCTGTCAGGTGGTCGCATTCGTCTCTGCCTGGGGCCTTGGCATATCCCAACAGAATCTCAGCCCACCAATCTTCAGAAGCCCACGCAACAGCCACCTCTGTCAACGCGCAAGCGCAAGGGACCAAAGATGCCAAAGCGCGCAAACGGGGGGGTTACGCGTACGCAAGGAGATGAAGGAGATGGTGAGTTAAAAACTCTCTCTCGGCTCAGAGTGGAGCTCGACACTCCGAGCTTCCGAGTTCGGTCGGTTCGGAAAGCGCAACAGCACCTGCGCACCCATCCCAAGAAGTGCAGGCAAAGCGATGGCGGCACCCATGTGCCTGAGTGCCATGGAGTTAGACATCCTTTTGTAATGTAATAAGATAAACAAAATACACATATATATATATTATATATCCATATATGTGAAAAGTTACTTTAGTGTTGCAGAATTCTTAGGAGAGCCTTTTCTTCCTGCCCTACGTGTCCAAATAAATGTGTTATCTGACTTTGCGGATTTCAGAAAGAAAGCCTGCAGGTCTAATACTCAAAGTATGGGAAGAACCAGCTTGCCAAAATTCCCGCAATTCCTGTGTTTTTTTCTCCAAAAAAGACCGTCGACACTGCATTACGGCGCGTTTTGCTGATTTGAGTGTTTCCAGCACTTGAACCGCCAGTGTCCCACATACAAAGAACACTATATAATCGACCTGCACCAGGCCTTCTCCACGCCAGCTGCAAGGCGCAAGCCTGGTGACACCAGCAACCGCAACCAAATCTATGCCTGTGATTTGATGACAAGCGGCACTGTCAGTTGGGGTTGGAACGCACAGCTTTGCCTTTGAGAAAAATCTGATGTCCGCGCGCAAATTCTCTCACTCCGCACCTGGCCCTCTTGGTTCTGTTCCCCGCTGCCTGAAGCACACGATACACACGGAGAAGCTTCCCCTGCCAAATTGACAACGTGCAATCAAGACGCCTTTGCATGGCAGCACATCCACCACATAGCCATCATTGATCAGCTTGAAGATGTCACAGGCATCCGTTACAGCGGCCATGGTCAGCATAATGCGGTCTTCCCTACAACTCGCATCGACGCTGAATGTCTCTGTGGTGACACTGAGTAAGAAGCAAGTGTGGGTTCCACATATTTTTGTGTGAGGGCTACAGGTGGTTCATGGGTTCTACTTGCCGCTATTTAGTAGAGGAAAGCATGATCTGTCGAAACAGAGTGAACTCTCAAGCTGATCTGTCGAACTCTCAAGTCCCCCTAGTGCACCTCGAGAAGTGTGAAGTCACCCATTTGCCATCTAGACGCTGCACCTTGCTGCTTGGTAAGTTTCTGCGTCATCGAGTCCCTGGCTCTGTAAAGCATTTGAAGCATGTTTTCATATTTTTTCAATCTATATGTTCCAAACTCGGTGAGAATGGTTCATACCAGTCGAAGCCTAAAGTTTGTTGCTCTTCTGCGAATTACCCGCCCTGGCACACCCTGGATTTTTTGACAATACCTCACGTGGTAAGAGTTGGTAAACCCGTTGCATCGCAGTCCCTCAAAACACCCTTTGCATCGTATGCGCACCTGCAAGCGCTGGAAGTGCCGCACCTGGCTATGTCATGCAGCTACGACTAAGCCTTAAAGAGCTTGGATGGCTTCCTATGGTTTCTTCGGAGTGCCTTTGTCCCATTCTTTCCCCCAATTTTGCATCTTGAAAACAAATCTGGCAAAAACAGTGGGTTTCTGTTACCAGTTAAAGCGGATGTATTAAATCCCAAAGGCAAGCCTCCTAGTAAGAAAGGACATCAATGAATCAATGTTAAGTGTCCCTTAAAATCTAGGAACCAAATCATTAGTGCGAGCGCTATCCTGCGTCCAGTTACTAGAAGCTTAAGTAGCTAGTAAACTAGCTGCTAGTAGCTGACCTCCCTTAATTAAGTAGGCGCCTACTTAATTACAGTAAGGGCGGGCTTGAAAAAAATACTGCCCAATTCAGCCGCTTGTCTTTGTTTCTCAGGCCTGCGCAGATCCAGGAGAGACTCGTACCACCTGTGACACGAGGCCTGTGACCTGTGCACCTCACCTGTCTGGATCTGACGCCGAGGCGAAAACAGACGCTGCCAAGAAATGCAGCAAAACAAGTGACGCCCCCACAAAGGTGTGGCTTCTCCAAATGTTCCGAACCATGAACCCTCGCACACGGCGGTTTAAACCTTTTGGTGGATATCGTTTTGTGAGCCTCTGGGCCATGGGATCCACACAGGCGGTCGAAGGTGCTTTGCAAAAGATCCTCCTCGGTGCCCACGAAGCTACTAGGAGCGATCGGACGCTACTAGGAGCAAAGGGATTTAAAGCAAAAAAACGAGACTTTAGACACGCGACATGTACAGTCACATAATGTCACAGATTATATTATGAGGCGCACAAGTTGGATTCTTCATTGTTGTTTCTCGTTTGCACTGAAAAACAAAATATGCATCACACGGTCTGGCACCTGAGCGCCTATTGTTGACACCAACTCCTTCCAACAACAACACCACCCATATCAAATACAGTAGCTAGGAGAAAGGATGTCAACGTTCATGTTTGTGTCAACAGTTGTTACTTTTTGAACTTGCGTTGTGCATATCGCTCCTTGCCCCATGCCGCGTTGGCCTCCAGGGTAAACTAAACCATGTTGTTTGCCAGAACATTCTGAACCAAACATGTTTTGCATTGTGTGGAAGAAGAGGTAATTGAAAATTGTACTAAGCCACTCAAGCTGGAATTATTGATCGACCTGCATGACTGTTGGCAGCTGGATGATGCAAACAAATGAAAAACCTGTAAAAATCAATAAATTGATAGATGCACTGGTTTATGGGTGTGAGTCGCACTTGGAAGTTCCAAGCGGTCAAATCTGCAAATGTCACAAAGGTCAGCATGTGTCCAAATTTCATGGAATGGCAATTGTGCCCCTGTCATACTGATGTGGTATATCGGTATATCAAACTTGGGCACGACACTCCCTGTCTGTAGGCTGTCTAGTCTTTCAAGCCTCCTTCTTTGCAATGGCGGCTGATTTTCCCCCCTGGCACCAAGAAGCGCTTCCCTCATTATGGAGTTTAATATGCATGTCAACTTGTAGAAATGTAGATACTGTAGCTAGACTCTATAGACAAACACATAGCACAGACATGCAATAACACCCAAAACTTGTAAAACACCTCCTTATGTCTTTCTGTCTGCTCACTTCAAGTTCATTCCAGAATGGACCGTAGCTTCGCCGTTCGGTGCCTCAAAACAAACTGACCGCCACCGGCCGCCAGCCCGTTGGCACCTTCAAACGGCTTCGCAAATACCAGCAATAAGCGTCTCGAACCGAATCCTGTGAGGCTGGCGGTGGGCGGTGTCCAAGCGCCACGAGTCGAACGGATGCCGTCCTTTGCACGATGTGTACGAAGATAGCCCCTGGTTTCAGTAGCAAGGACACATTAGATGGAGGCAATCGCAAGTAGGTTGGAGGTCAACGCTACTAGGAACAAGAAGCTACTAGAAACTAGCAGCAAGGACGCATGGTTAGATTTTGGAGGACAATAGATGACAAAAGGATGAGGGAAGGAAAGCAACACCAACACACCAAGAGAACGCCAGAAGGACAACAGGACAACATGAGGGGAGCACGCCAAGAAGAGGAGAAGAAGAAGAGGAGAAGGAGGAGGAAGGAAGAAGGAAGAGGAGGAGGAGGAGAAGAGGAAGACAGGACGCTCGCCGGCATCGCCTGACACTGTGGCCACTTCTTCTTACGAGAGAACCCCGCAAGAAGAGGACAACAGGAGGCTAGGAGAGGACATTGGCTTCTGCTTTGTAGTGAACGCTCGCATATTGTTATGTTTCACATGCTGACAGGCTACCACGGGGCCATGCTGCGGCGCTGCGGTCTTCGCGCTTGCCGGCTGGCGCTTTCCCACTGAGTGCCACACAAGGCTTGCTTGCGTGTGCAGCTGCTTTCTCGCATTGGACCGTTTGATTGCGCTTGGGGACAGTGCTTCGTGCGCGCGTTGTCATGGTGTCATGTCTACATGCTGCCACGCTGCCATCTGGACAAGCAGAAGGACACGGCAGGAGAAGACGATGACAAGAAGAGGAAAAGACAAAGGACAAAAAGAGGACAACAGAAGGGCAAGAAAAGGACAGAAGAGGCAGAAGAGGTCAAGAACAGGAGAAAAGGAGCACAGCAGGAGGACAAGAAGAGGACAGGGAGCGGACAAAACGAAAACAGCAAAAGGACAAGGACTAGAGATGGGCTAGTAGCCGCGCCAAGCTGGAAGATGGACAAGAAGAGGACAACAGATGGACAAGTAGAGGACAACAAGAAGACAACAGGCGGACATAGTGTTCACCGGCACAGCCCCAGCAGGAGTGGAAGAAGATGACAACAGGAGGACAATGTCTGGAGACCAGCTGGCAGCCGCGGCCAAGCTGCACACCAGAAGCGGGACAACAGGCGGAGACAGGAGTACAACCGGACACAGCGTTTACCGTACCAGCGTGGCCAGGGACTGTAGCCAGCTTCTTTTTACCTAAGAGAACTGAGAACCCCAACAGTAAACATCAGTAAACTGTTTGGGGAACAATGTTAGAAACGGGTAAGGGATCAAAAAAACAAAAATAGAATCAAAAACAAAATATTCAACTGGGATCAATAAAAAATAAAAAAGCAAGCCTGCCAAGCAGTTGTCTTAAACTCTTTCCTGTGGACTACAAGTACCCGTCTCGCAACTTCGTCTGCAAAGTAGTGACTGGCAGAGAAATGGAACAACAAAGAAACGGACGACGTCTCTCTACTTGGAGCCGAACCTTTAAAGATCCCATCTGCAAAAATGTCTAGATTTGTTGTTTTGTGTGTTTTTTTCTTTGGGGGGGTAGGCCGCTAGAGGTAGGTAGTAACTAGAGGTAGCTAGTAGCTTAAGTAGCTACTAGTATGGACGCAGGATAGCTCACGCTCGCGCTAGTGATTGGGCTTCTGGTTTTTTAGGGAAACTCAACATCAACATAGGTTGCACACATTTGCACACTATATAAACGAAATAAATTGAAGAATGTGTGAATTGACAATATTGCATCACTGGCATGGAACAAAATGCGTTCATTCTTTTGAAACCCGATAATTATGTAGATCCTTCGTCGGATCTCAACCCCTTGCCCATCTGACACCTCACCAAATTTCCCCTCCTCGGGTGTAGAAGAGCCCTTTGGGACAGTTGCCTGACGGAGGCTCAAGGACTGGCTCAGGGCGGCATGCAGAAGGCAAACTTTGGAAACGCACTAGACCGTACCCGCATTCGCCGCCATACGCCATATGCCATGATTGTCTCGACAGGGAAAGTAAGGACCAAAAAGAAGTTAAGAGGTGATATTGAAAAATACCTTGTCTGATACTGCGACTCCCATTCATATACTATGTTGCCTATGCGAGTTTTCTACTCACGCTGCTCTGAACCAATGAGATATTGATTCACCTTTCATGCCGTGGTTGGCTTCCAAGCACCGTGTTTAAGGTTCAAGGTGGATGCGGCTGTCCAATCAACTCCACTAACCACAACCAACACTTGAAGCTTCAAAACTAAATCTTAGATTTAGACCAAAACACTGACCCACAACCCAGCTTAAACAAAACCACACACACTTATAGAAATGCGTACTGATTTGGTTGCGGCTTGCCACACGCCAGCCTAAGTGAAAAACCTAAGAAACCAGGACAGGGGTAAGTGCGGTGGTCCAAGCTTCCTCAAAACCTGCACAGCCTCCAACTTCAAATCGACACATCCAAAGCGACAATGCACATCTGCCGATGACGAACCGATGCAAGGGCTGGACGTCTTGTTCTAGCTACAAGCAGGGCCCACGATGAAATTTCTCAAGTAAAACTGCAGGTACGTCTGGCATCTGGCTGATCAGGCCAGATATCAGCACGGAACTTGACCCTCTTCGTTGGATCACCAGTCAAGTCCGTGGGTGATCCCCCTGCTCAAAAATATAAAAGAAACATTCCAACAGGAACCTTGTGACTCCAAAGGTTACACACACACTCTGACATTGGTTTTCAGTTAGCTCAATTCCCAGGAGAAATGGTAATGGAACCGAAAGGTGAAAGGGTCGGAGCACTTGAAGGTGTTTCAACAATAGTTTGTGCACATCTGCAGTTCACGAACACGCGGCAGCTGAAGGCGGCTGAAGGAAAAAGGTTTTGGGGAGAGTATCGTGGAACCACCATGGAAACAAACAAGGAAAAAGTGGAGTCACAGCTTGTACAAAAGTTCAGCAGGTACACGGAGGTGATCAATCTCCGCGTCCCCCATCGTGGAACAGCTTCGTTGGCACAGGTATCCACGATGGGCCTGTGCCCCCTGCCGTGGTAGCTGACAGAACCCTTAGGAACAGGGGTTGACACACACACGATGCCGCTTTGCGGCGCTCGTGTGAACGACCTTAATAGGTACCTAAAAAGCCTTAGAAACAAAAGAAAGAAACACAGAAAGAGCAGCGCTAAGAGGGCAAGAGAGAGAGGTAGGTGTAGAAAAAAGTGAATACTTAGCCCTTGACTGGGGCAGGGAAACGAGCCTCAAGAGCAACCTAAAAAGCCTGAGAGAAAGCCC